ACACATGAAGAAGGATTGCACTGGCTATCATGGCTAGCTTGCAAAGAAAGGTAAACTTCTTACTTTGGTTTGTTCTGAAGTTAATTTAACTTCTGTACCACGATACACTTGGTGGATAGATTCGGGTGCTGCTACTCACATAAGTGTAATCAATGCAGGGTTGCCTAAGCCATCGGAAACCAAGTGATGCTGAAAGATTCATCTATGTTGGCGACGGGAATCAAGTTGAAGTGGAGGCTATCTGCATTTTTAGATTATTATTGAGTTCTGGTTTTTATTTGGATTTGGATGAGACATTTGTTGTACCGTCATTTAGACGGAATTTGGTTTCTATTTCTACATTGGAAAAATTCGGTTATTCTTGTTCCTTTGGAAATGGTTTATTTCGTCTTTTCCGTGATTCAAATTTACTTGGTACCAGTACTCTCTCAGTAATGATAATCTATATGTGCTTGATACAATCACTTCATATCATGAAACCTTGCATGTTAAAACCCATGGTACAAAGAGAAAATTAGATGACAAGATTTCTGCAAATTTATGGCATAAGCGATTAGGTCACATATCCAAACAAAGGATAGAACGCTTAGTTGTAGATGAAATTCTTGACATACCCGACTTAACATATTTTCAAGTTTGTGTTGAATGCATCAAGGGAAAACAAACAAATCAAAGACGGTTAGGTGCAAAAAGAAATAGTGATGTCTTAGAACTAATACATACAGATATTTGTGGACCATTTCCTACGGCATCATGGAATGGTCAACAATATTTCATTTTGTTCATAGACGATTACTCAAGATACGGATACTTGTACCTAATAAATGAGAAGTCCCAAGTTTTGGACATGTTCAAATCCTATAAAGTTGAAGTTGAGAATCAACTAGGCAAAAGGATTAAAGCAGTAAGATCCGATCGTGGTGGCGAATACTATGGTCGCTATGATGGATCTGGTGAACAACGTCGGGGTCCTTTTGCAAGATTCCTTGATGAATGTGGAATAGTACCTCAGTATACCATGCCTAGAACTCCAAGTATGAACGGTGTATCTGAACGTCGGAACAGGACTCTTAAAGATATGGTAAGGAGTATGATAAGTCACTCTACCTTATCAGAGTCATTATGGGGAGAAACGATTAAAACCGTTGCATATATCCTCAACAGAGTTCCTACAAAAGCAACTAAAAAGACCCCTTATGAGCTTTGGACGGGTAAGAAACCAATTCTAAAGCATTTACATGTATGGGGTTGCACAGCAGAAGCAAGACCTTACAAGCCATTAGAAAAGAAAATAGACCCGCGTATAATAAGTTGTTATTTCGTTGGGTATTCAGAAACATCCAGGAGGTACAAGTTTTATGATCCCAAAAACAGATCGATATTCGAAACTGGAACAACCCATTTCTTTGAGGATGTTGAGTTTGGGAATAGAAATAAGGTACGAGAAGTTGCATTTGAGGAAGAATATGTCCATCTTCCCATAATAATTGGTCATGATATAACACATCTAGATCAATCAGACAACATGCAACTCCTCGCACTGATTCAAGAGGTTATTCCGGATGAACAATCTCAACAACCTCAAGAACAGTTGCCATCAAGAAGGTCAACTAGAGTAAGGAGAAGTGCGATTCCAGACGATTATGTCGTATATCTCTAAGAGCATGTAGAAAATGTTGGATTATTAGAAAATGATCCAATAAATTTTCGTCAGGCTATGCAAAGTCCAAACTCTCAAAATTGGCTTGAAGCCATGAATGAAGAGTATAAATCCATGCAAGACAACAATGCCTGGGAACTTGTTCCATTACTTGAAGGCATCAAACCCGTAGGTTGCAAATGGATGTTTAAAACCAAACGGGATTCTAAAGGAAATGTGGATACGTATAAAGCTCGTCTTGTAGCAAAATGATTTACACAGAAAGAAGGAGTTGACTATAAAGAGATTTTCTCTCCGGTATCTTCGAAAGACTCGTTCAGAACAATAATGACACTTGTAGCTCATTATGTTTTAGAGTTACACCAGATGGATGTAAAGACAGCGTTTCTTAATGGAGACATTAATGAAACAATCTATATGGCACAACCAGAAAACTTTGTGATCGACGATTCAAAAGAAATGGTTTGTAAATTAAAGAAATCCATCTACGGGCTTAAACAAGCATCCTGCCAATGGTATTACAAATTTCGACAGATTATTTGTTCATACGGTTTTGAAACAAATGTTGTAGAAGAATGTGTATACCATAAGTTCAGTGGGAGTAAGTTCGTCTTATTAATATTGTATGTCAATGACATACTAATTGCCTCTAATGATATAGAGATGTTAAATGGGACTAAGGCTTTCATGTCAAAGAACTTTGAAGTGAAAGATTTGGGAAACACCGCTTTTGTATTAGGAATTCAAATACATCGAGATAGAACTCGGGGTATACTTGGATTGTCTCAAAAGGACTATATCGAAATAATATTAATAAGGTTTGGGATGAAAAGCTGTAAAGAAGGGAACACATCCATTGCTAAAAGAGACAAATTTTGTCTTGCACAATGCCCAAGAAATGAATTTGAGCAAAAACAGATGTAAGAGATTCCTTATGCATCGGTTGTAGGAAGTCTCATGTATGCTCAAGTGTGTACGCGTCCGGATATTGCGTATGCAGTTGGGATGTTGGGAAGGTATCTACATAACCCAAGAATGGATCATTGGAAAGCAGCCAAACGGGTTTTAAGATACTTACAGAAAACCAAACATCACATGTTAATTTATAGAAAATCAGAAATTTTAGAGATCATTGGTTATACAGATTCTGATTTTGTTGGATGCCAAGACAGTCGTCGATCCACGTCTGGTTATGTTTTTCTGTTAGCTGGTGGAGCTATATCGTGGAAAAGTGTTAAACAAACACTCACGGCAGCTTCAACCATGGAAGCAGGATTTATAGCATGTTATGAGGCATCCAATCATGGAGTTTGGTTGCGAAATTTTGTCACAGGGCTGCGAATTGTGAACAAAATAGAAAGACCACTTATGATATACTGTGACAATAAGTCAGCGGTTATGTACTCCAATAACAACAGGAGTTCTTCTAAGTCAAAGCATATTGACATAAAATTCCTGGTTGTTAAAGAAATGATACAGAGTAGTCAGATAAGTCTTGAACACATTGGCACGACTTCCATGATAGCGGATCCGTTTACTAAAGGTTTACCACCCTCGGTCCTTATTGAGCATGTTGCTCATATGGGTGTACTATCATTCGATAATGTATAGTTTAAGTGGGAATTATGTGTTGGAAGTGACTAAAAGTAAAGTTTTCTGCAGAAAATAAAGTTTAAAAGTTTTAATTACTACTCTGAAATGTTAAGATCTCCATAAGGTTAAAGAGGACCAGTTGAAAATAGACATGTATAGATCACTTATCGTATAATTTTCATGTTGCATACCTAAGCTTTGATCTATGTCATTGGATTTGTTAATATATGTGATCTTAGAAGGCTTAGTCGTGCAAAATATGACAAAAGCCGCTAAGGTCCTATATTATACGTTTAATGGACTAGATTGATGAAATTACAAAATAATAGCATGTTGTTGAGCTCTCTAAAGATAATCCAAAATCATATATATTGAATCAAATGGGAGATTGTTAGAATATTTTATAAATATTCGCAATTAATATGATTCAATATTGGATTTAAATCATGGATTTTGTAACGTTAGCTATTAATAAGGCATAAATGTGATCATTTATGAAATATGCCTAAAATCGTGATTTCGGTAAAGTTTAGGAGCTAATGTGCATATACCGTTGTGTTATTTCCATTTCTTTTATGGGCGGAATTGGAAATAATAAGAAGTTTATTTTCTATAAATTAAGGGTATGGTCCCTAGGTCACACACCAGTTTTCAGAATTCTTACAGCCCATATTGTGAGAATTTTTTTCTGCTCGTGTGTTGATCTAGAAGATCACAATTTCCGATTACTGTTCAGACGCTACCGGATTCATTGCTGAAATGGATTCAGGTAAGACTCTATTCTATTTCATTCTTACATGCTACATGTCAGATTCATGATGTATTTTCTATGTATTTAGAAATACGGTATTGTTAAAATTAACAGAAGATCTCTCACACAAACACTTTATAGGGTTTTTTCTGCGTATTTTCTTGTTTTGTATATTATCATATTTATAGGTACTGAAATTTAATTTCAAATGGTTTAACAAGAACTACATATTTTCTTTTTTTTTTTGGTAAAGAACTACATATTTTCTTTTAAAAAAGTTATTGAACATTCGGCTTAAATTATATCATCCACAACTACATATAAAAAAATGACATTTCAAATAAATGATGTATTTTCATGTAATGTTCATGTCTTATATTTTTTCAATTTGAAATAATCTAAGAAAAGAGAGATTATAGAGTGTGTGCTTTACAAGTAGAAACCTGAACTGATTATGGAACAAGAAATCCAATATAAAATAAAAATAATAAAAATAAAAAGGGCTTCTTCATAATTAGGCAAAGATCAATAGTAACACCGGTAGTAAACTAGCAATTATTACGTGTGAAGTGTGATGCAGTAAAAAGGCAAATGCCACCTGAGAGCCTCTCCCTCTCCCTCTACCAAAACATGATAAAATAACTTACTAAGCTAAGAATGTGTTTATTGCAGGTCAAATTTAAACTCGAGACAATCCAAACATATTTCGACCCGGTTCGATTCGAATCCGGGTCGAATTTTAGGTTTGATTATATAAACCGAAAAAATTGGACCAACCCAAATTGGAATTCAAAACGTTCGGATCCGACGCGACCCGAACCCACCGATACCTATATATATTATTATGTTCCAATTTTCCTCACAATATTCGATGAACTTCTTGAAATGGGCCATCTCATCTCCAATGGGCCAACGAACAATCAATTCACAAACGGTGGCAGTAACGTAAATAAGTCAGAAACGGGGCCTCTTTCGTCAATAAACTGATCCTCATCTCCCAGCTTCTTCTCCTGCACTTCTTCGTTCGCTTGCTCTTCTTGCTCCATTGTCGCCGTCGATCAACAGATTTCGTCAGAGCTCTCGGTTCCATGGTCTCCATTGTTACAGGGTCAAGCTTCGTTGCCTTCAAATCCGCCGGGAATCTTTCCGACCGGGAGAACTTTCAGTCCCGGCGATGGGCTCCCATTCGTTCTCTCAGATTCTCTCATCTCTCTCGTCTTCGGGTTCAGCAAGCGCTTCCGTCTTCTTCATTCTCGCTTAATGGCGTAGCGAAGGTTCGTCGTTTAGGGTTGTGTGGTAAGCTTTGTGCGGAGAAAGGAGATGGAAGAAGCGACGGTGTAGCGGAGGAAACGGAGAGACTGGCTAGAGGAGAGAGCACGATGCCTGACAGGTTCAGGTATTTGACCAAAGAAGCTCCCGATCCAACCGTTCGGTGGCCTTGGTTTGTGGGTATGTCCCTTTTTCCTCCTCTATTAAGTTTTGAAATGCACTTTGACTCTACTTTGGATGAATTGCCCAAAAAGCGCGTATTGATGCGTGATCTTTTTGTCTGAATGTGAGCTTATGGATCATAAATTTACGTGTAGTAGGCAGCTTTCTGAATGTATTTCAGAGCCCAGATTCACTGATTATGGTGTTACGGACTGTTTCAGGATTTTCTGTGTGTTGTCGTCGAGCTTAGTTATGGACATATGTCGTCATCAAGTTGAAGGCTAGGGTTTTTCGGTTAGGGGATACGACCCTGATGCCCAGTTAGAGATCTGCACGTATATTTACAGACAATGATAACTCTTTTGGTAGTTTAGTTTCTCTTAGATGATTCGCGGCTTTGCATTTACATGTTTGTAGCCTTAACGTATTTGCCATGAATGCTCTTCTTCTTTCTCGACAAGACTATCTGTACGAAGAACACATCTCTGACTAATGTCATGATTTGCTCATTGCAGCACTAGCGTTTCTTGTGTATTCATGGAGAGCTGTCTTGTTTGAACTATCCAACTGGAGAAAAGCCGCTCTAACCATACTCAGGATTCTGGGAGACCTTCTGAAACTTGGCTTGGCCCTTGTCTTCCACTTCATTGGCGACCCAATCACATCCCTCATCAGTTTCATCGAGACTGCAATGTACAGCATCCGGGCCTTCTACTCTGGCATTGTGGCTTACACCCCTATCAGAGAGTTGACCACTGTTGTCCTGCTTGCATCATCAGTCCTAGCTGTAGGAGAGGCCATTGCTCCCAACTCTATCAGCAGCCAACCATACGTCCTAACTGTTGCGGGCTTGATTGGCTATGCCGCCGTTCAGAGCTACATCTCCGAGCCATTCTTCTGGACTCTCTTACTGGGTCTGTATGGCTTCTCGCGTTTGATCAAGAAGCGAGGCCATGTCACTTCTGCTCTTCCATCAGCTGCCGTTCTAGCTGCAGTAGGAGAACCATGGGTGCGAGTCATGGCCATGGCCGGGTATCTGGCTCTAGCCATGTATCACAATTCGAGGAGGCCATCAGACAGGAAGCTAGAAAGCGAGGGCTCGAAAACTGGTAGGAGTGTTCCAGTGCCATTGTTGGCTGTTGCATTGGCCATGGGTGTGCGTCTTGCTGCGAAATGGGCCGGATACAGGCACTTGACATGGATGATAGTATGACCCTGCAGCTAAAGCACAGATCTTTTCATGTGAAGTGGATGTGTCTTGTGTCTGGTCTCATCATCATCTTATGTCAGAGTGAGATCTGGTTCAGTTGTAGTTGTAGAGGCTTGTTTCTGCTTGTGCCGATGTTTCATAGAGTGAAATCAAATGGAAAAAAAGGGCCATAACTCCAAGTTAGCATGGTTCATATTTCTCCTAATATTTTGCTTGTCGACAAATAAAAATCCAATTTTTATGATGATAATGCCTTTTTTGGTGGATAAAGAACGGATTGTTTTGCATTTGTTTTCTAAATGTTATAACATAAGATGGAAAATTATTATTTTAAGACGAATATAAAAGTTAATCAAAATTCTCTGCTTCTGTTCATTATAAAACTAAAATCCTTCGACCGTATGTGATAAATAAATTCAGCATATAGGAAGCTCAAATGGTGGCGGTGGCATAATCGTAATTAGGTGAGAAATTGGATCCCCTTTACACAACTGACTGATCCTCATTCCCCTCGGCACCTTTCAACTGCACACCAGCAGAGCGGAAACTTCGTTTGTATCGCTTCGCTTGACCTTATAAACTAAAGAAATCGCTTCATTTTATGAATTTTCTCTCTCGTGCTATCAGAGGTTCACCATTTCCAGCGACTTCTCTTGCTCTTGGTTCCATGGCTTCCACCGTCGCAGGATCCAGCTTCGTTGCCTTCAAGTCCGCCGGAAAGCTCGCCGACCGAGAGATCTGTCACGTTCAGCATTTCGCTCCGGTCCGCTCTCTGTCTCTTCCTGTAGGAGGACTGCGATATGGATCCAGAAGATTGTATGCTTCCTCTGGTATTCATCTCTCTCTCTTCCCGCGTTTTGTGTTTTCCGGTGATCAGGCATGGCTTTCGATGGAATGGCCAATTCGCATTGTCGATATTCCCTTTGATTTGGTCTCACTTCTTGGTTGTCGTTGGAACCGATTTTGGCTCTTTGGATAGGCTGATTCTGGTTTGTGTTTCAGTTGCTTTCCTAACGGTTCCGACAAAGCACGAAACCGGTTTGATGCGCGTTGATGAATGAAAGATGATCAGTTTTTATTTGTGTATAATGCTATTGTGTTTCGAATGTACCTTGAATATTGTAGAGTGGGAGCTAAGATGAGTATAATCTTATGAAATGAACCCAGTTGTGAAAGCTCAGGTGGCTAGTGCTGAACAATCAGCACCTGGAGCTGACCAAAAGGTGGAATCTCCAGTGGTGGTTGTGACTGGAGCCTCCAGAGGGATTGGTAAAGCAATTGCTCTGTCCTTGGGGAAAGCTGGCTGTAAGGTTAATATTATTCCGATTGTGTTTTCAGGCCTCCTTTATTTATGATCCTTACAATGTTTGAACCTGCTTATAGAATTAAGTTTAGATATAAAATGAGTCAGGAGTTTTTGCTCAGGCTCGTTGTATCTGTCTCTAAGAAATTTGTTCGGAAGACCTAAGGGACTTTTTCCCCCCACGACGGTTGGTTCTTGGCATCATAGTCGTTTTACTTGGGCTTCAGCTGCTGTTTTTCAGTTCAACCAAAGAGGGGGAAAACCTTGCAACCTTATTTTCTGTTAAGTATTACTGCTGATTTGGATGTAAACATTTCAATTTTCAAACCATTGCAGGTATTGGTAAATTATGCTAGGTCGGCAAAGGAGGCTGAAGAAGTTTCTAAACAGGTAACTGATGCCCTATGTTAGAATATGTATGATTTACTTCTTGCATCACCTTTATATGATTTCTCATCAGTTTCAGAACTATTATCTTGTTTTCTGCTTGCCAGGATGCTAAGTGATCGTATACTGGTGTATGCATGTTGAAAAATCTTTCTATTTATCCAAGAAGAGATATCACACTGTCCATTTTAGTGATGGATAGCTGAACTAGTACCGGTTTAAAGAACAAGAAATGGGAGTATAATAGAACATTCAGGCAAATGTGTTCCTTGGTGTTTGAAGATTCTATTTATTATAACCAGATGCTTCTCAAATATTGATCTCCTTTGATTCCTTTGTGTATGCTCTATCATCAAGTTCTTATGACTTTGTAGATTGAGGCATATGGTGGCCAGGCTCTTACATTCGGGGGTGATGTCTCAAAAGAGGATGATGTTGCAGCAATGATGAAAACTGTGAGTAGTTAATTGTACACTGTGTTATTTCCTTTTTACGTTTTATCATAATCTTATTGTTTTGTTTTCTGCAGGCTGTTGATGCCTGGGGAACCATTGATGTATTGGTTAACAATGCTGGTAACTAACTGAGAACTAGTGTCTCTGGTATTGTTGACTTTAAACCTAGGACCTTCTTGACGAAGGAGCATACTTTCAGGAATTACTCGGGATACCTTGCTGATGCGAATGAAGCTATCCCAATGGCAAGAAGTGATCGATTTGAATCTCACTGGAGTGTTTATATGTACCCAGGTCTGTTTGCCTTGTATCTATCTGAAACTTTGACCAATACTCAAGAGACTGAAATCCATTTATTATTTGTAGGCGGCAACAAAGATCATGATGAAGAAGAAAAAGGTAATGCTTTTCATCACCCTCTACATATTCTCAGTTACCTATCCATGTGTGGTCAAATGTCTTAACGAATAAGAAGTCAACAATGTAAGCAGCAAACTATCAATTTTAGGGCATTGTTTTTTTCTTTGGTAGCCCTAGTTGTTTGACAAAGTGCTATTCCCATATGATAATATTAAGAATTCTCTTGCTAGATGGGAATTTAAGTGTTCAAGCTCTCTATTGAAAAAGATGAAGAAAATAGCATCCTTTATATGAGTATGCATTGCAGGGGAGAATCATCAATATATCATCAGTGGTGGGTCTCATTGGTAACGTTGGACAAGCAAACTATGCAGCTGCAAAGGCTGGAGTCATTGGTCTCTCCAAAACCGTTGCAAAAGAGTATGCAAGCCGGAACATAAATGTACAATTTTTCTACCCTTTCCTAACCTATTTTTTCTTTGTTGTTTGGGGAGGGAGGACAATGTATATGAATGAGTGGGGAGATGGTTGTGGTGGTGTGTAGGTGAATGTGGTGGCTCCTGGATTCATTGCGTCGGACATGACTGCGCAGCTTGGGGAAGACTTTGAGAAGAAAGTCTTGCAAACCATCCCACTAGGTAAAACGTGGATAAATAATATTCCCCATTGTCCAAAAACTTTGAACAAGAAGACCTCGACTGACTTTTGGGATCCTTGCAATGGGTTCAGGGAGGTATGGGCAGCCAGAAGACGTAGCAGGGCTGGTAAAATTCTTGGCCCTGGATCCTGCAGCCGGTTACATTACGGGACAGGTCTCTATGTCTCTCTCTCTTTCTTAGATTTTGATATTTTTCTGCTACAAAAGTTAACAGTCTTTGTAAATTCCTCTTGTTCTTTTTTCCTTGGTTTTGGTTTGGGTATTGCAGGTCTACTCCATTGACGGTGGAATCTCCATGTGAAGCCTTCTTTGGCAAGCGACACCCGTAGTTGGAGTAAAGATTCTATGGTTTAGCACCGCATTAAGAAGAGTAGGTAAACAGCCCCAGTCGAGGTTTATGGTGCCGTTTTTTTATTAATAATACTAGAAAAAAAAAACGGTTTTGATGTGGGTTCATATGAGAGTGGTATCTACCTGAAAGTGTTCGAATCGCTTGAGTTTTTACACACCCTTGTACCCGTCTTTTATCTTTCGGGAATGTACTTTGGTCAGATTTGTGCTTTTGCCATAAAAGAGTTACACATTACAAAAATGATTAAAAAAAGAAGAAATAGGCAAATTCTAAACCCCCTCAAGAGATGAGAATCGAGTAGTAGGGGTTACAATGGAAAATACAGAGAGTTAAATAGCGATGATGGAAGAACGGAGGAGGGAGGGAGGGGAGGACGTGTAGAGAAGCTCGACAAAGGTGCCGCCTCCTTCACCTTTGGATAGTCTTCCTGGGTTGACGCATACGCACTTGCCTTCCCCTTCTCTTTCACCCATCTCCATCTCCAACTCCTGTTTTTTTTTTTTGTTTTTTGGCAACACATATATATATGAAACGTAATCATATTTTGATTCCTTTTTTTTTAACAACGTTTGGAAAATGATTTTACGGGATGAGAAAGGATGGGACAGAACCTTGACGAAGTAGCGCATGTCGGAAGGAAGGATGAGAAGATGAGGGACGGAAGAGATCCGCAAAGCTTCAGGAGCCAGGGAGTAATCCAGAGGCACGCTCTCTGCTGCTGGGTACAGGGGATAATAACTGTTTCCGCCCAACGCACACACGGACTTAGATGACAGGGTGAGGACATTAACAAACAAGAGAAGAGAAGAGAAGAGACGTACGAACGCTGACGGAGGAGATGGGAGGCAAGCCTGGCCATTCGGTCCCCGGTCACTCCGCTTGGGTTTCTGGCAATCTCCTCCCCACTCAGCTGTTTCACCACATCCACACTGCACCACCCCACCTTCACCTGCCCAGTTTTACACACACTTCATATATATATATATATATATATATATATATATGCACACCTTCACTTTCACTCTTACTTGCAAGCCACCCCTTTTTTCTTACCTGGTTCGCCTCCAATGTTCCTGGGTTTGACACGCTTATTATCTAAAACAACAAAATTTCAATCGAGAATCAGACCGACCGTTTCTAGTTATTGACTTGTCCGTTTGTTAAAAAAACAAATAAGCTTTACCTGATGCTCGAGATCAGGTATACGAATGTCGAATGGAGGCTGCCACACCCATCAACAACAACAACAAACAAAAACGTTTAAAAAAAACTCTCAAACTTAAAAACAATCTGATGCAGGAGGGTGTGGGCCACCTGAGGGAAAACGAAGTCATGGTTAGCGTCACGTATGGATGGCACCAGAACCACTCTTGCTTCTGAACCCATGCATTCCGCATAATCCTGCAACTGTGAGAGAGAGAGAGAGAGAGAGAGAGAGAGCACCAACAATGGCATCAGCATAAGATCCCCTCCTACACTTCCAACAAGTCGCACTGCTAAAACATTTGTCTCTCCCTGATTTCACTACCTTACTGAGAACTTCTGTCTGGAACACTTCATCGAACGTGGCATCTACAGTCCCTTTCTTGATCTCCGGATGATCAGAATCCACAAACGGGCCAAGCTGAATCATAGTATCTTCATGTTAGCATTTGAATGCATGATCGATTTGGAACGCCCAAACCATGAAATTGTCACTTGGTGAAAGTGCATCAGCTGTTTACCAGGACAAGTAATTGAGGCGACTTCCTTCTTGCATATGCTAGCAGCTCATTCAGCGGCTCAAACAGCAAGTTGTCCGTCGTGGTGAATGGTCCAGCAGCAATTATCTGCCAGATAAAAATCCTATACTTCATGGGTCTAAAGTGAAGACAACGATTATTAACCAGCTGCAACCACGTATTATAACATTTTTCCCACTGAAAAATCACCACAGACATAGCAACCCGCTGTGATCTGGAGGCAACTAGTAGTATCTTCATGTGAAGATAGAACCAATGCAAAGCAGGAGGAAGAGACCCTTCTGCGGGTTCATAGCATCACATGTATTCTAAAAGAATTCCAAGTCCTTGGCATCCTCTAAACCACCGCTTTTGACCTTTTTACTGAAACAATTTTGAGGTTTTTCAAGTTCTCATCACTTGACAGTTTTCTCATCTTGTCAGCTAAAACACGCACTTATCTATCAACCTATGTGGAAGAAAGAAAAGTTCCAATACGATGACAGAAGTACTAGGAAACTAGATGGCTAGACGAGTACTGTTTGTGAGGTGGAAGCCCATATACTTACAAATGAAACCTCTGATCTTGTGCAGGATTCTTCGGCTGATAAGATCTCCTTTTCCACGGTTTGCTTCTTAGCGGGAGGTAAATCCGTGTCAGCTGCAACTGCCAAAGGAACTGAATCTACCAGCTTTGATGCAATGAAACAATGTCCACTTGGATTTTGGCCTTCCACACCAACTATCTGCACAAATCCAGACTCCCATATAACATGGGTATCTTTCTCGAGAACATGAAAGCTTAATGATTGTTTTATGCAGTCACCTGGCCAGGAAATATGGAGAATTGATCTATTCTGCTCAAGTCCAGCTGAACTCGTCGCCCTGAAGTACGCTCACCACTGCCGAAACATAACTTTGTAGCATTATGACAGAAAAACTGGAAGCTTAAGAGATATGGTGTCATTTAATTGGATAAGCTGGGTGTATAGACTTGAGTTGGAGTTAATTCAAAACACAAAGAGCAAGTTTCTTCCTTGTACCGACAAATGTTCTGAAGAGAACTATGCTAATAACTACAGTCATCTATAGGCATGAAGAACCTCAAGTGGAATCTGAGTCAAGCACAGCAATGTTCACCAGTTTCTGAATCGTTCTAGGTCAGTTCTTGCATACAACACTTCAAAAGCATATGCATCTGAACTATATTCATATGACATGCTATATTTCTCGCAATTACTCCATAGTTTATGGTTTCATTTCTTAATATTGTTTCACACTGAAACCAGAAGGGACAATAAGTTTCAGTACGAGTTAGTTTTAAACCAAAAAAAGTAGGAAGGCAGACTTGAGTTACCTGCTTTGCAATAAAATTGACTTCTCATTCAAATGCCCCTCTCCATCACAACAGATCATTCCAACAGCAAATATACTTCTCTAAAGCAATCAGTAGCACATAGTAAGCAACCTTATACCATGTAACTTATTGAAGCCAAGAAGTTAGACCTGCAAGACTACCTGTGAAGCAACAGCTGGGTCCACTGGCTCTTCATATAACCCTGACGCAACAAATGCATCCGCGTGCCTTGAAATACGATTCTCAAGCGCGTTAAACTGGAAGCGTAAAAAAATAGATCACCATGAAAGCACTCGGAGATAGTAGATCAAAAGACATTCTCTAGCATCACATACCCTGTCATCAATTCTGTCATACATGAACCTGCAACCAGGCTCAGGTCCTGAGCCATGGACTCTCAACAAGCACCTGTGGCTCGTTTGAACCCTCTTAATGATATCATCTTCACAACTTTCTTGATCGTCATTGGTTCCGTTCTCTGCTTTTTCCAGATTATCGATGTTGAATTTCACAACAAACTTATTTGTCCGCCGCCCGAAAGGTGTAACGTGCACAACAGACTTCCTGGAAGAGTAACCAGACCCCTTTGTTTTGTTTATTGAATCATATGGATCCGAATGCAATCTGTGAGACTTGTCTGTCGGGGTGCTAACAACTTCATTTGTATCTTCATATACATCATCCAAAAGCCTGCACAATTGTGTTCAAACAATTTGTCTATCTTCAAAAAAAAAAAAATCTTTCGGGGCGATCTCTTACCCACAGGCTCAAACATGCAACAAAACTATGAGCATGAATCCACAGAAACAATCGGATAGTACATAGCTGTGTTAAGTACTTACATGTCTATATCTCTACTTGAGTAAATATGCAGACCCGATTCCTCCCCGATAATAGATTCTTTCCGTTCATTCTGAAGATGCAGCAGAAATCCATCCATTTCATCCTTTTGAACAGTTTGCTCCGGGAGTTGTCTGTCGCATCAAAGAAGACAATCAAAGACTATACAAAATAGAGAAATTTCATGTCGCGAATATCACTAGCAGATTAAAAGCCCAGTCATAACTAATAGCGCCAATATTGGAATTCATACATGTCCCGGAACATATCCCTACTCCACAAGATCCTGAATTGCAAAACCCATTTCGAATTTGTAAAAATAATCTTGAAAATCGAGCACTTTAAGTAGAAAAAGAACACTATAATGGACAAAACGGGAGAGGAGCTAATCTTTTCAACAACACAGAGAATCCGGACCGAGTCAAATGGGTCAATCATCACACCAAAGGAAAATAAAAAATAAGAGGATGGGAAATTGAACATCGAAAATACAAACTAGTATCGTAATTCAGCGAGCCATTTGGTTGGGAAAAAAAAAAGGAGAAATGTGACTTACCGGTTGAGATGATAGAGTTCCCAGCTTGAAACCAGATCAGACGGCTTGAGACTGTAGTTTATGCAGAAAGAAACGCCTAGTCAAACATATTGAGGGGAAAAAAAAACAAATCACGATCCAGAGAACGAACGAGATCCAGCAGTGGAAAAATAGGGTTAACGCTCGCATACATCTTTTGAGAATCTCATCCTCTTCCATCAGTTTGAATCCGCTACTGTTGAATTCCCTCTTGATATCCTCTTCCGTCGCCATCTCTCTCGCTCGCTCGCTGGGGGTTTCTGGGTTTCGGGGAGGTTTGTGGAGGAACAAGGAGAAACTGGCGGGAAAATGTTCGAGTTTGGCGGGATTTCTCGACCCTCTTCCTTAGTGGGCCCATTTATGCAGCCCTAATCTGTTTATCAGCCCAGAAACTCACTTCTTGACCTTTGACCGTTGACCTTGCCGTGAATGATATAGTGGTCAAACGAACCGACTCGGACCAGCTCGGACCAACCCGTGACGAGCCAGCTCATTTCAGCCCAACTCGTTAAGCCCGTTTATATTTGGACCAAGAAATTTCTGACTCGATCCGAGTCGCTTTAACTCACGAGTCGATTCGCGAGCCGAATAAAAATAAAAATAAAAATAAAAATATTATAATTATATCATAATCCATCATCGCGATCAGGATCGATGATGGGAACGGTGCGACTATCGAAAGCATCTAGTGTTGCCTCGACATCGAGCATCGTATCCTCGTCGAACGCGGGCGATGCATCAGGAGGAAGTGGCAACTGTGATGGTGGTGGAGGTGGGGGTGGAGGAGCACCAGCAGATCCCGCCAATAATCCTCCGCCTCGATGAAACCTGGTAGCAAACTATAATAATATATTTAATTAGTTAACCATTATCATTATATGTAATATAACTACAAATTTAAAAATTAAAAAATATAAAAAAATGCAAAATATATAAAAAAAAATTATACCATGTTTCTGTGTCTCTCTAAATATTTTTTAAAATTATTTAAAACTATTAAAAAAAAATAAAATATTTGTTTTCTAACTCGTGACGAGTTGGCTCGTTCGGCCCGTTTTGTATTCGGGCTCAAATTTTTCTAGCCCAAATCGAGACAATATGGATCGGCTCCCCCCGCGAGCCGAGCTCATTTTGACATCCCTAGAATGATCCTACATAAAAATTTTATTATTATTTTTTTGGTTGATTATTATTTTTTAATTACATGTTGATTTATAATAAGCTAAATTGGAGTATTGTTGGTGTTTTTTTTAAGATAAAAGAAAATATATAAAGGAACAAGATAACTTGTAAAACAAAAAATTCGATTCAAGATTACCTTTTCTATTTTCAATCGTTCTCACGATAGAAAGCAATTGTAGTATAACATGACATTGGGATTAATAAAAAAAATGATTTTTTTTAATGTGTATTAAATAACAAATTCTAGTTTTTGGGATTTCCATATACAAAATTGTCGATTTGCAATTTGAAAGCCAATACACACGTTGCAAACTTGCAATATGTTGGAAACGTACAAGTATTATAAGAATGCGGATAAAAATACGCATATATTAATTGCCTAAGCCACCAGATACAAGAACATGACAGGAGAAGGATAATAATATTATATTATATGATATAATGTTATATTATATTTCAGCTAAAAAGACACACACAGCTTGACGATGAAACAAGGGCGTAATAAAATAAACCATGATAAACAGTCTGAGTGAATTTATACTTGTGTTCATACACGAAAGGATTCATCGATCTGCTCGATCAGGAGAAGAATTTGTAGCTGTTGGCATTGACGATGATTGTTCTCAGCCCTCCGATCGGCGCTATGATCGTCAAAACAATGCCCACTACAATGCAGAACTGCAAAATCGAATAATTCAAGGAAAAAAAATCAAATTAAAATTGACAAATTTTAATTTTAAAAAAAAAACTAAATCACTGCATGATTGAAGTAATTATAACGGTGAAGGAAGAACATTACCCAGTTAATGGTCCAAGACAGACCGAATCTCTTCGGTTTCTTGAGAGCGAGCCAAATGATGCATGGAAGCTGCATGCACATGCAAATATTAATGTATTATATTACCACAATTTTCTTTTCTTTTTTCTATGATTGGTTCTTTCTCGATCGAGATCAAGAAAGGATACTTACGTAATAGGTTGTCGGGGCAAAGGCAAATCCTCCGAAGAAGCCGAGGAGACCACCGAAGAAGGGAATGCAAATGCCGACGAACATAGTGAAAGCTGTGATAATCAGAATATATATACATTAATTATCACAATGCATCGATCAAATCATGTTGTTCATAAACTTTATATATATATATATAACTTACCAACGTATACGTTGCGAGTGACGAAGCGAAGCATGAACGAAGGGTTGAATCCCATTTTCTTCACCAAGAACGTCTCCAGCATGTCGAAGACAGGCATTGCAAAGATCTGCAAGCGCGTATAGATTATATACACAGTTATGTCGGGTTCAGACATGTACGGATATATGTCGGATTCAGACATATGCAAACACAAAAAAAAAAACTAAGGGAGACTTGTACCTGATAGCTTCCGATGACATGGACGACGACGAAAAGGTTAGCAGCGGCGATAAGCCAAGTGGGTTTCTCCAAGGTGATGAGGATGTTGTCATCGACGGCGTTTCCAAACATATAGTATCCGATAAAGGCGACGGGGAGGTAGCAGACGGCGACGACTATGTAAGCGACCACGACTCCTCTCCACATGGGGATCTTCGAGGGCTTATCGGGTTCCGAAGGGATGGTGGCTTGAATCTCTAGCACGACATTGTGGCCCGCGTAGGCAAAAGCCACGTCGCCGAGCGCGCTCAAGAAGTTGAACACCCTTCCTGATTGTGTCGAAGCTTTGTAGCTGTAGTCGACATCCGGTTGGAGCCCCTTGTGCAGTGATGCTGACCAACCGACTGTGGAGTACCTGAAAAGGAAAAAAAAAAGGCAGTACAAGGTTACGACATGTACAAGGTTATATATTGTGCAGCCTTAGATTTTCGGATTATCGAAACTTTGAATTTGGATATTTCAGTCCCCTCTCGAGTGTTTTTGGTTTTTGTAGGATGATGAAAGAGCGATAGTACTTACGTCAAGGACATGACGGCGGCGGCGAGGGAGATGCCGGAGATGGAGTTGAAGTTGGGGAGGTGGGCGAGGACGAAGTGGACGGAGGCGAAGATCATTATCCAGAAGGTGAGCCTGATGTCCTTGCAGTCCTTGCAGAGGAGATCGTGCACTTTCTTCAGCGACTTCCCGCCCGTGACCATGTAGACGATGTCCACTCCGACCTCGACGATCAGCTGCTGGGGGACGACGATCCAGAGGCCGAGCTTCTCGCCGAAAGCTTCCTGCCCGAGCTCGTGGTACCTGTCGAACCTCTTCCCCGGCACCATCTCGTGCATCTCCACCATCTGCCACAGCGTGTACAGCGTTATCACCCACGACAGTATCATCACCGTCACTCCTGGCCCCCTGTCGTGAATCCATTAAAACTCAGGTTCTCTTTATATATAGATCCCATGCTAAGAATTTTTGTCGAATAATGTATATATATATATATTATATATATATATCATGTGGTATCTATGTGTGAGAGCATGGATAACGATGGAACAGACGTCAACCGAAAAACTCGTTAACATTTCCAAACCGAATCGTTCAAAATTCACGAAAGGGTTTTTTTTTTAAAGACCGAATTTTTCAGGATCGAACCAAACTGAATTAAAAACAAAAACAAAGACATCATTTTTTTTCTTAATAAAAATTGAAATCGAACCAAATCGAATATGATAAATAACCGATTGGTATATATTTTTATATAAACGAAGAATTGAACCAAGCTCGAATCAAATACCGAAACGCCATGTACAATATAACATTTCATCGATAAAATCTTGAATATATACGCCCTAAATACCATAAAAACAAATTCTGGATAATTTCTTATATCATTAATTTAACGAAACAATATGAATACATGTATATAGATATAGATTTACTAAATTCGGGTTGGAATAATGAAAATTACAAATATATCTATATATTGGAATGTATTGTAACAATATCTCTGTGAGCGAAAATTATAATCGAAATCAAAAGTTGTGTGGCCGATTCGATTAATAGCTGAATAATTGAACAGATCCAATCTAAACAATACATCATTGTAACAAAAAAAAATCTTATATAAAAATCAAATAGTTATAATTTCTCTAAACTAAAATAAAAACCCGAATTCAAATGGATTCGAATTAAACGGAATAAAAAAATAACCGTTTTTTTAAAATAAATATTTTATCAATAAAACTTGAATGAACGGAATCAAATTGATATAAAACTCGAATCTGTAGACAAAACGGAGAAAAATTCAAATCTGTAATCAGAATCCCAAATTTCTCATCGAGTTTAACCGAAACAGGACCGTGAGATTACAGATAGAAATCACCTATCTCTATCTCCGGAGAATTAACCGAGAGAGAGAGAGAGAGAGAGAGAGAGAGAGAGAGAGAGAGAGAGAGAGAGAGAGTACCATACGAGGTTGGCCATGGCGTAGGGCAAGCTGAGGACACCGGCGCCGACAATGGCGGTGACATTGTGAAACGCAGAGTACCACCACTTGGCGTTCCTCGACGACGTTATCGGCAGCCATTCGTCCACTTTCTTCTGCC